ACACACACATCATAACTAAGCTGCTAAAAACTAGTGATAAGGGATACTAAAAGCAGAAAGCAATACATACAAAGGAACACCTATTAGATTAGCTGTGGATTTTTCAACTGTGATCTTTCAGACAAAAAGGGAATGGCAGGAAATATTCAAAGCCCTCAAAGAAATAGATTTCCAACCTAGAATACTTCATCAGCCAGAGTCTCATTAAAGACTGAAGGAAGAATAAGGATATTTACAGAGAAAAATTTAAAAAATACATCAGGCTCAACTTGAAAGAAATATAAAGCAACTATTATAAAACAAACAATTTCATCTAGAGTTAACAGGCGCCAAAATTATACAATGTGAAGGAGGAGGCTAAAAATGTAAATCATTATAAAGAGTTTAGGATCAAACTGGACAACAGGTCACAGTATAAACCATCACATAAAAACTCAGTTGAAACTTGAAGCAAAAATGTACAGAAGTAAAACATAAGACAGTGGAAATAAAACCCAAGCAAAACATACCTGGTAGGTGTCAAAAATAAAAGACTAGTTATAGAAATACAAGGAACAAAATGGCAATGAGTGCCTATGTTTCAACAGTCACTTTAAATGTAAATAGCTTGGGTTCACCAACAAAAAAGTGTAATGCAGTGGATGATGAATTACAAAACAAAATCCAATTTTATGTTTATAGAAAAATGTGGACTCTCAAGACAAGCACTGGAAAACAGTTGGAATGGGAGTAGTAATGGAAAAAAGGTATTAACAGATATGCCAGATAAAACAGATTTCTAGTTTTAAAAGGTAGTAAAATATAGAGATGAACACTATATTTTGATTAAGGGCCTAATCCAGTAAGAAGATATAACACTTATAAATATATATGCACTAAGTTAGAGTACCAATATATATAAAGCAACTACTAAGATAATTAGAGAAAGGTAGCAGTAACAACACAGAGGATTTTAATAACCTATATACAATGGACAGGACAAGAAGATAGAAAATAAATAAGGAAACAATAAACAATGAGTTAGGTTACAAAGGGCTAACACGGCCCTCCCTGGTGGCGCAATGGGTTAGAACACAGCACTACAAGCTAGCCACAAAGGGCTAACACACATCTACAGAACCAACATTCACATGGAATATAAATAAATTTTAAATAAATTTAAGATTGAAACGATACAAAGCATTCTTTTTTAAATCATAATGTTATATAAAGCTAGAAAGTATTTTTTTTTGATAAAGGAAAACATAAGGGTATTAAACAACATGCTGCTCAGTAACCACCAGATTAAGGTAGAAATTAACATAACTAAACTAATGAAAATAAGGACACAAGATTTCAGAATTTATGGGATTCATCAAAAGTGGTTTTAAGAGGAAAATTAATTGCACTACAGGCCCACATTAAAAGCATGAAAAATCTCAAATAGACAATTTAAAATTACACCTAGAGCAACTTGAAAAAGAAATGACACCAAATAGTAAAAGGAAGGAATAATAAAAATTAGACTAGAAATAAATGAAATAGAAAAAAAGAGCATACAGAAGATCGGTGATACTAAGAGTTAATTCTTTAGAAGATAACAACATCAACAAATCTTTACTGAAATCTTAATGAAAAAAAGAATGAAAACCTTAATAGAATTAGAAGTAAAAAAAGAGAGAGAGAGAGAAATTATTACAGATAGCACAGAAATACTAAGGAATCTATATGGAAAATTATCTGCTCATATGACTGACAATTTTGAGAAGAAATGGTAAAGTTTTAGAAGAAGAAATGGATAAAGTTTTAGAAGAAAATAGTTCACTAAGCCTGAACCAAGAAGAAACAGAAGATCTGAATAGGGTGAGCATAATTATGGAAATCCAAAAATAATAAAAATTATGCATTAAAAACAAAAGCTCAGAATCAGAAGGATTAACAAGTGAATTTTATCAAACCTTTCAAGAAGAATTCTACCTAGTTTCTAATATTTATATTTTGAATAATTACTGAGCCAAAAATTCTCAACATAATATTAGTAAATCAAATTCAACAATACACTAGAAAGATCATGCACCATGACCAAATAGGATTTATTCCAGGGATATGTCAATATAATATATTAAATCAACAAAAATAAAGACAAAAATCACGACAGTATCAATAGATGCAGAAAAGCATTTGAAAAGAGAAAGCACCTATTTATGTCATAAATACTTTAAAAAAATGGGAATAAAAGGAAACTATGTCAACATAACAAAGGCTATATATCACAAACTCAAAGTCAGAATTATATATTTCATGGTGGAAAACTGAAGAGCATTCTCTTTAAGATTAGAAATAAGGCCAAGATGCTTAATTCATCAGGTCTATGGACAGGTTAATTGAACAAGAAGAAATAAAGGGAATCTACATTAGAAAAAAAAAAAAGGGAAAACATCATTATTTATAGATAATATGATATATACAGCAGGCCTTAAGAACACCACTAAAAAGTTATCGGAAACAATAAATAAATGCATAAAAATGGGAGGCTTCAAAATTAACAAAAACTTGTTGCAATTAACTAAGAAGGTAAAGGACTTATAAAATGAGTACTCTAAAATGTTGTTATAAACACAGAACCAGACAAAAGGAGATGGAAATATCTTTCAAGTTCATGGATGGGAAGAATATATAGTAAAAATGACTATTTCACCAAAAGAGATACACAGATTTAGTACAACCCTTATTAAAAGTCTAGTGAAAAGTTTCAAGAACATAGAACAAAAGTACTAAAATTTAAACGGAATCATAAAGACCCCAAATAGCCAAAGCAGTCCAGAAGAGAGAAAAGAAAAACAGAGTATCATCCCTTGATATAAATTACATTATAAAGTAGCAGCAATGAAAACAATATAGTATTATAATAAAAAACAGACACACACAGTTAAGGGACAGAAGCAAAAGTCCAGAAATAAATCGACATATATATCATTAAATAATGTATGACAAAAAAGCCACAACCCCACAGCAGAGAAAGGAGAATTGCTGATGAACGGTGCTAGGAAAAAAACTCTCTAACTCCATGCACACAAATAAAATAAAAATGTATTAAATATTTATATATTGATCCTGCAACAACAAAATATATGTAAAAAGCTGGTACAAGTTTCATGACATCAATAATAAAGATGTCTTTGGGGACTCAACTCCTATGGCAAGGGAAATAAAAGCAAAACGAAACTTCTTATTGAGACTACCTGAAATTAAAAATCTTAATTGCGAAAAAAAAATTAGCAAATTAAAAAGCTATCCCATCAAATGAGAGAAGATATTCATACATCACACAGATGACAAGGGATATTAGGTATGCACTAAACTCACCCAACTAAACAAAGAAGTAAACCCAATTAAAAATTGGGGAGCAGATCTGAAAAGATAATTTACCAAAGAGGATATACAGAAGGCCAACAGATAAATAGCAAAATGTTCATCATCACTTTTAACTTTTAATACAAGTTAAAGACATAATGAGATAGTTCACATCTGTGAGAATGGTATGCTAAAAAGACCTCAAACCATAAGTGTTAGAAGAGGATGTGGAGAACAAATAACAAATAATACACTGTTGACGGGAATATAAATTGGTACAGTTGTTTCGGAAAGTGGTCTGGACCTCTCTTAAAAAACTAAAAATAAAAACTGCACGATCCAGTGATCCCACTTTTAGGTATCTATCCAAGAATAGGAAACCAACTAAAAATGTGTATTTTCTACAATGTTTATTACAGCTTTATTTACATCAGCTAGGATTTGGAAACAACCTTCGTACCCACAGGTAGAGGACTGGATAAAGAAGATGTGATACTTACATATTCAATTATATAAGGAAAGATGAAATGTTACCATGTCAGTAAACTGGAAGGAGCTTGAGGAACCTGCTTAATAAAACTAGTCAGAAAAGTAAAGACAGATATTGGATGACTTCACTTGTAATATAACTGATATAAGAAATCAAAAATGGATGAGCTGCAAAAGCAAATACTGACAACCATGTTGATGTTTCTCTAGCTAAGAGGGAGGGGTATGGAAGAAAGTTAAAGGTGGGAAATGGTAGGGGAAAAAAGGAGGTAAGGAAAAATCCTTATGCTTTCTAAACATAAATGTTTATGTGAATGATTACAAGTGAAAATATAAAAATTCTGTTAGATCTTATGTTCACAGACAGTACAAAATTATAGGAAGAATACATGCCTTATACAGCCAGAGTTTCCATTCTGGTGTAGATAATTACTAATTTGTGACTCTTGCAACTTATTAACTTCGTTGCCTTTCAGAACACAATCAATTTTGGGGCTGTATTTGGCAATTTGTAGAGCCCTGCGCCATATACAGAATGGGTGATCAACAAACAGCTATTAAGGCATAAAGGAAAATCAAGGTTTACAGAACTGATGTGGGCTTACAATCTGCATAGCTGAATTGAGGATTATATCACTGAGTCTTAACTTCAATGATCAACACCTCTTATTTCACTGACACATTAAATAATTATTCTCTTTTTTATAACACTTAGAGGAAGAAGTGAAACAGACAGCAATAAAACAAAATCAAATATTCTCTTAAAATAATGTATATAGAGAAAATGCTTTGGTGAAAGCCATAAAGAATTGCCTGCAGAGTTTTATTTCATTTACACTGAAGGAAAGAATAGTACCACCATTTATTCATTTGACCCTATTTCTTTTTCACACGGTCACTAACACTATTAATGTGTTATGGAATTGTTTTTCTATGTTAAAGCCCCTTTGCATTCACCAGAATGCAGTATGCTATTTTAGCTAAAGATTCTGGGTTATAAAACTTGCTCAGTGAAGATCACTTTGGTAAGATCATAATTTTGAATACAGTTATAAAAATACTACTTATAAACAAAAATGGCTCTTATGCAATCTTAATCTGGTAAAAACGTAGCACTTGAAAATGTGTTTTTTGTTTTCTTTTTTTAAAACCATATTTTGCCAGTCTGTTTTACATACCTGAGAATTTTTTTAGGTATCTGTGCTGGAGAAGAATGACTCCTTTTCTTTTTCTCTGAGTCCTTCGGTAACCCATCTTCCACTCCACTTTTCTCTGGAACTGCTGACTGATCTTCCCTGGCCTTGCTCTGCTCCACAGCAAGGAGGCCTTGGGCGGGCTCACACCTGTACATGAAGACAATGGCTGGCTTCTCACTGGACTCTCCTTTTGCCTCTGCGAACCAGTGATGGCGCTGAACTGGAGGAGGGGGCAGCATGTGAATGACTGTGCCATCCAGGCCCACCAGTTTCCCCTTCTCCCGTTCTTTCTCTTTGTCATCCTCCTCATCTGTTTTCCGACGGCGAAAGAAGCTTTTAAATGATATCCAGCGTTTTGGTTTTGCATCAACTGCCCGCCTGCTACTGTCAGAATGCAAAACTGATTCAGCTTCCGTTGACCTGGTGGGGCTTGTTGGCTTGGTCCAATTGTTGAAATGTTTTTGCAAAAGGTTACTGGCATGGTACGGGGAAGAAGTAGAGCGTGGTGGGGGAAAAGGAGGTGGTGGCTCACCTTGTGGGTTACCCACTGATTTGGAGGCAAGGGTGGCTGCTGGCTTGGTGAGTGGATCTTTCTGCACTTTGGTGGGATTTTCTGTGGGCTGAGGTGCTTCAGCCTCATCACTGGGCTGAGAAATAAAGAGAGATTTGGGCCGGACTGGCGTACTCTTAGGTGTCGTCTTCACAGTGTCCGCATCTGGAGGAATGGCATAAAGCTCTTCCACACTGCAAGCCTTAGGGCCAGCTGGAGGCATTTCTGGGGGAGTTTTAGGGGGCTGGATAGACGCCACAATCTGAGAAAGGACGGTGCTTGCTTTCTCCCTGGTGCCACCGCTGCCGCTGCTACCCACCATCTGACACTCCTGAGTACCTTCTGGTTTAACCAGAGAATCTTGAGTGGTTCTCTGGATCTTTATTGGGGAGCTGTGGCTGGAGCTATAGCTTCTCTGTGGTGAAGACTGACCTCTGTTAAGACAGCTGTTAAACTCCTGAACTTTCTGAGCCACCGAGCCCCTCTTACGCTCTGTGCTGTTTGAAAACGCTTTAGCTTGGGGACATTCAGTAGGTTTGCAAGTGGTATTATCAGACACTTTGCTTTCAGTTTCTATTTCTTCATAAGTATGGCTTATTACACTTGTGGTTTTTTCCTTTACTGAGAGCTCTCCACTTGTTCCGAGAAAACTTTTGTAAATGGCTAGATTGTCATATGCATTTGGATTAATTACAATGGGAACTTTGATAGCATTTTTTGAACTCCGGGCATAAGATGGCTCATCATGAATGATAATGGGGAAAGGTGGCATGCCAGCATTGTTATAACTATTAAATTTTATTTCAGACAAATTAGGTGACTTCACAGGGATGGTTTTGGAGGAAATGTTTGTAGTGGTGGGTGATGTAGGTGCTGATTTGTGACAGGCTTTCCTTGGAGGGACATTTGGTCCAGTTCCACCACTAATTAATTCCACCTTAGGTATCTTTTGCCGTGGACTGGTACTGGAAGTCCAGACTTCCTGATATCGGATTGCACTGGATTTTTGAAAATGAGCACTTATTTGTCCTGATGCCAACACAGGTGATGTCACTGGAGAGTTTGGAGTTGAAGAAGAGCCTTTTATCCTGGGTTTATTAACAGGGCCCTCGAGGTGCTCACTGGTCATGGCTGCTGACACATCTACCACAGTGTATGGCTTGCACAAAGGCTGCTCCAGATTCACAACTCGGTAGGGCTTTGCCTGCTCTTCTACTGGGACGAGGTTTATGGTGACTGCTTGCCCTGCTATATCTGTAGAGGCTTTATTTTCTTGCTTCTCAGTTTGTACAGCAATCTTGCCATCCTTTTCTTCTAATCGGAGGGCAAGGACTGCTTTGTGTGTCTCTGGAACTTTTACTGCAGTTTTGGGTGCTTGTGATGTGTCCTTTTCTTGATTACTAGCAGAGAGACTTTCAGTACTGGGCTCAATTTTCTTCATGTCCTTAGGCTCTCCTGGGTTACCAGGAGATAGTCCCCCATTGCAAATCTTCTGGGATAAACTACTGGCTGTCTCAGAACGTGATTCTTCTGTTAGAGAAGAATCTGGGGAGGTGGAATCAGATGATAACATGCTCTGAATACTCCCTGCTCCATAGGGAACCACAGAATTCTCTTCGTAACCATTAAGGATTTCATCATAACTGTCATCATAGTCCACAGCACAAATTCTCTGTAGAGATTTATTTCGTAGGGGAACAGTATTCCACTTTTTGTCCACAAAGAATCGAACAGGAGACAAAGTATTTGCCCTTAAGTTAGCAAAGCGAGGTTGCCCTCTCATGCGAATCTCCATGGCCAAGAGCTCTTCATCACTCTCATCCCAGCTCTCATGCTCCTCCTCCATGTTACTGAAAAGTACATCATCTTCACTTTCCTCGCCACTGGAAAACTCTGGATAACAGAACCGGCCCCCTTCATTACTGATTACTTCTGTGCTCCCACTCAGAATAACGTGCTTTCCCTGAGTTTCCTTTATACCACCCATCATGCAACTTGGTGGAAGCTTTCTTTCCAGTGATCTTTTATAACAATCATTTATCCTTCCTAAGAATGTTTCTCTGGAGCTTATTTCATTTCCTCCTATCTGAGGGGTTGTATTCAAACCTGCTATTTCCTTTAATACATCAGTTAGTCCATTATTGTTATTTGATATCTTCTTTGCACTATCATTATTGCCACAAGGCTTAGGAACATGGCTAAATCCTTCAATGTTATCTTCATTGTTATTATTAAGTGGTTTCTGATTCAAGGCCGTTCTGTTTCGATTCCACCCTATGATGACAGGTTTGTTGTCACTATGTTCTTGGACACTAAGCTCACCACATACACTTTGCCCATCTGCCACCATCATAGTGGGCTTCACAGCTATAGTGGGTTTTTTAGCCACAGGAGGCCGGAAATTTCCTGTGTTCCTGATGCGGTGGTTGTTACTGTGATTGGCATTTGTTTTCACATTGCCATGGGTGATGGGTGCCTTCTCAGGGTCTGGGGGGAGCTGGTGCAAGCTTTTAGGTTTAAAGCAGTTCTTGCATTCACCAGGTTTCCAAACGTGTTCAGTAAAGGTGTTACAAGCAGACATTTTTAAAAATAGAACTTCACAGACAATGCTTTCCTTTCAGTGCATGGCAAAATTTTCATCCATTAGTTTTCGCCTCTCTTATATATCACACATAGCAGCTCTTGCCAAGCTTGATCAATCTGTGGGGAGGGGGAAGAGAAGGAAGAAGAAGAAAATCTAAATGGAAAGGGCACTAGGAGGCATATTATGATGAATGGCTTAAAAAAAAAAAACTGGTTCCATTTCTAAAATTTCCCTTATGTTAAAAGATAGGTAAACTAATTTGGGTACTACATGAACTCCCTTTAGCCTACGAGTATTTTGGGAAGTTAGATTTCTTAACCATAATTTTACACACTCTCTTTGAACCATATATAATCTTTTGATCAATGCCTCTATGGTAATGACACGGTGACTGTTCCCTCCTGGAAAAGCTTTTGAAATTGTTCTTCCTGTTATCCACCAACCATCTGAAAAGTCTGACTCCACTATGAGCTCAGCTTCTGCCTACCCCTTAAATAGCGATATCCCATAGATGCCTAAAACTCAAAAGTGTTCAAAACTAGTCCTTTGGTTACTCCTTTTCTCAACCCCAAGAAACCTTCTGCTCTAACAAGCTTTCTTCTAACCCCAAGAGACCTTCATCCTCTGCCTTTATCCTATTTCATTTCACATTACTATCACTCACCTACATAGCTAAGTTTCAACCTTCAGAACCTTCTTTACATCTCTCCCCTTACTTCTAAGTCCATATCCTACTAAGTTCCCTAAATCAGTCTAATTTTAGCTACTACAATTCACTGGAACTCATTCTTGCCATTGTCAGATATTTTGTAGTTCAAAAGCTCACCATTTTTTGCCTAGGTTCTTGCTACAGTCTGTCAACTTCATGCCTGTAGTCTCACCTCATTCCAGTCTAAAATCTCTGCCCTTGTTTTGTAAAGTGTGCTCTTAAGATAAGCAGTAGCAACCTCATTTTAATTCCAATCCCAAATCAATTTGACCAGAACTGCATCTTAATAAGATTTCTCAGGGGATTCCACTGACCTATCAGATTTAACTTTCTCAAATGTTGAAATGATCATGTTTTATCTAACTTAACTATTTTGTGGCTTCAAGCTAGTCATTGGCTCCCAACTATCAGAGTGCAGACTAAAGAACCACATGGGGAACCACTCTGATCCTAGCTCATCAATGCTGAGGAAGAGTCCAGTAATCTGATTTTTAAATAAGGGCCCTAGGTTATTCTATGTGTACTGAGGCATTGAAAGCTCTGAGTTACATTATCTTCCATCTAGTGTTATGTTCTGAAAATCAACTAGTTTTATACTATAGAGACTACTGGACTACTTATTATTCTTTGATATTATGAAAATCATTTAAATATGAATACACATTTTCATTTTTAAAAAATCTGATCTACCACTGACTTACATTATGTTTCAGGAGCATTGCTTTACACTTTGATAAATGTGACACCACACCCACCACCAAAGGCAGTTACCATCTACTTCTACCCAATTAACTTTCTTCTCATTGTTCTTCCCACACCTCTACCCTTTCTCCTCTGATAACAACCTCTTTTTTTCCACAAGTTTAGAGTTTCTTTAAGGCCTGGGTTATATCTTACTCACCTCTGAATGTTTAGCACAAAAATATGAATAAATTGAATAAATGTGTTGGCTTTAAAGATTTTTAGAAAAATATGAGTCCTGTGGCTTTCTCTTTTTTATGCACATAGCTGTTTTATAGCTCTCTGGATGTTATAATAAAGGTATGTGTAGGCATGTACACATGAACTACTAATAGATGGAAAGTTTAACTTCATTCATGTACAGTGACGCAGTACCTGGTTTTGTCAGAAACCCACGTATTTTCACAAGTTACAGCACATTTACAAGGAAGGAAAGAATATTTTTCTCTAGCTAATATATACAATGCTAAGTCCACTGAAAACAGTACTCATAATGTACTCTGCTTCAGCTGATAAAGTACAGACTTAATGATCAAAGAATTTCTATAGAGAACCAAAAATCTAAGTATGCTGGAGATCACTGAATGGTTCTTTTCAATAAAGTTAAAATACAATTTTCAAGTGTTTATTTGAAAACATTTATTTATTATTCCAGATATTCTAAAATCCCTTAGTGATAAAACCATTTTCTGGTTCAGATATTCTAAAATCCCTTAGTTGATAAAAACATTTTCAGAAAGGGGAAGAATGGTGTAAGCTTAAACTGAAAAGGAAAGCAGGGGCCAAATCTATCATTTTTTTAGGCTTTTAAAGATTATAGTTTATCCTAAGAGCAGCAGGATGCCACTGAAGGGTTTAAACAGGGGAAACAACATGATCCAATATGCATTTTATGCACACAGAACTGGGGTATAGGCCAGAGGTGCAGGGACAGAGAGAGGATTCACCAAAGACAGAATGGGGAGCAGAACAGGCAGACAGATGAAGTACACTGCTGAGGGGAGCAGCAGGCGGGTCAGGAGAGGTCTGCCCTGCCATGTGGTCACCAGGGTGGAACCACTGCACCATCAGGAGAGCCCCTAATTTGCATTTTAAAAAGATGGCACTGACCAAAAAACATGAAATGTTTTAGGTAGAAATCTAACAAAATATGTGAAAAAAACCTGTATGAAGAAAGCTATAAAAGATAAAAGCACATTATTATAAAAAACTCACAAAACATATCAAAACCTAAATCAGTGGTGAGATATATCAACTTCTCTCAATATTTTTAAGTCAATTTTTCCCAAGTTGTTCTTAAGTTCAGCATGCGTCCAACCAGAAGTGAAGCAGAATTTTTTAGTAGAAATCAATAAACCGGTTAAAGAGCTTCTGTACAGCCAATTAGAATATTACAAAAAACAGACAGACATCCCACTGTTTGGGAAAAAATTTTCTCACACAAAACTAGTGATAAAGGGTTGATCACAAAGATATACAAAGAACTGATGAAACTCAACAACAAAAAAACAACCCCATCAAAAAAATGTGCAGAAGAGCTAAAAAGACACTTCTCCAAAGAGGAAATGCAGACAGCCAACAAGCATATGAAAAAATGTTCAGCATCACTTGTAATAAAGGAGATGCAAATTAAAACCACAATGAAATACCACCTCACCCCAGTGAGAATGGCACATCTTCAAACAACTAGCAACAACAAATGTTGGCGAGGATGTGGAGAAAAAGGAACTCTCCTGCACTGCTGGTGGGAATGAAAACGAGTATGGAAAACCACAATGGAAAACTGTTTGGAGGTTCCTCAAACTGCTTAACATGGAGCTTCCATATGACCCAGCAATCCCAGTTCTAGGTATCTACCCAAAAGACACAAAAACACTGATTCAAAAAGATACCTGCACCCCCATGTTTATTGCTGTTTTATTCACAATTGGAAAGACCTGGAAACAGCCCAAATGCCCAAAAATGGATGATTGGATTAAACAAATGTGGTTCATATACACAATGGAATATTACTCAGCAACCAAAAAAAAAATAAACACATGCCTTTTGCAGCAACATGGATGGAGCTGGAAAAGATCTTGCTTAATGAAGTAAGCCAGAAAAAAGGGAAAAATACAGATGGTTTCACTCATAGCAGGAATATAACAGACCAGGTAAGAAAATGATAATAATAATGTACAGCTGTATACCAGAGACATTTTATGGGGGTGGAGTGGGAATGGGGATCAAAAGCAGTGGGGGGAAGACCAAAAGGATTATAACTGAGACGGATAAATGCACATTTACATAAATGATGTAAAAATAAACTCTTATTATTCAAAAAAGAAAAAAGAAGAAATCAACAAACGGATTCTAAAATGTATAGAGAAGGCAAGGGAACTAAAACAGACAAAACAATTTTGAAAGGGAATAAAATTTCAGGATTCGTTAGTTGATTTCAAGGTTTATTGCAAAGCTGTAGTAATCCTAACAATGTGGTACTACTAACCAATAGAAACATAAATGGACAAGTTGGGTAATTTAGCCATGGGCCAAATTTCACCTATTGCCTGTTTTTGTATGCCTCTAGGCTCAAAGAGCTGTTTAAAAAACATTTAAATTACTGCAAAAAATCAAAATAATATTTTGTGACAAGCAAAAAATTACATGAAATTCAAATGTCAGTGTCCATAAATAAAGAGTTCTATTGGAGTATAGCCCGGCTCATTTGTTTACATATTGTCGATGGCAGTATTTGTGTTACAATGGAGAGCTGTGTATTATATTAGACCCATGTGGCTCCCTCATCACTTGTAGTGCTTTCCAGTGCTTTAAAAATAGCAGTGTTTCCACTGCTACTTGCAGAACCTGAATGAAGACAATTTTCAAAGATAAAAATAAGTAAAATTAAAAAAAAAATATGTATAAGTATACAAACATTTATAATCAAGTTTGATGAAAGGAATACTAACTTTGAATCCTAATTAAGTAAAGTTTTATCTCTCTCCTCCAAAATAATTCCATTCTTCTTCTTAGTAGGGGTGTGTTATAAATGTAGTCAGTTGTTACATTTTTAATTTTGTCCAAGAAATTCATGGAAATTTGCATTCTTTCTTATCACATAGGCGCTATGGATTTTACTGGCTGCCCTACAAATCTTAAAATATTACTCTTTTTTTTTTTTTAGAAGATTTATTTATACATACAAGAATTAGGGTGCAAACCAGAGATGCGGGGGACTGAGAGGACTCACCAGACACAGAGTGGGAGTCCAAACAGGCGGACTGACCAAAATATGCTGCTTAGGGGAGCAGCGGGCGAGACAGGAGAGGTCTGTAAAGTCATGTGGGTCACCTCTCATGGGGGTTTGAACCCACACTGCAGTGGTTGCTGATAGCCCCACGGCACTGCGCTTCGCTTTAACCCGCTGCACCACCAGGGAGGGCCCACTCTCTGGTTCTTTACAGAGAAGTCTGTTGATTCCTGAATAGATCAGAACAAATATGAAATGGTATCAAGTCCAAAAATAGACTTACACAAATATAGGCAAGTGGTTTTTGATAAAGGCAAAAAGGATATTTTTTTCAACGAATGTGTAACCACAGCCAACAAAATGAACCTTGATTCACACCTCACATCACATATACAAAAACTACCTCAAGATGGATCACAGGTCTAAGTATGACA